TTGTACTCATGGGACAAAACTCTTAAAAACTTTTAGTTTTCTAATTTTTATTTCTTTTAGTTTTGTCCCATGAGTGCAACTACCTTGTGTTCTTACCCAACCATTAATTCAAAGCAATTAGAGCTGTCAAATTATAGATAATTTGAATTTGAAAGAAGGGTTCACCTTTTTTGAGACACACTGTATAGCTCGTTCTGCAATCGCTGCAGTGCAATTAGTTTTCTCATGCCGCTATTTTTAGGTGGCTTTTCAGCCGACTGAGTCTGCGAGATAATTAGTCCACATAACAACCACTTCTTATAATTTTTTGGAGGAATATGATGGTAAATTTGCTTTAAAAATTGCTTTTCACATTGTTTCACCTAACCGACCTATTACCCAAATAACCAAAATTTTGATCTCAACAAGTCTAGACAAAAAATTCACCACAGCTTGAAAGGACATCGCAAAATTAGTAATATTCCAAAGTTTCGTTGCGACAGGCTGTAAAATGCGAATAATATAGCCTTGCGAAGTTTGCCGGTTTTCACTTCAGTCATTTTGCCAGTATTACGCACGGGAAATTTGTACCGCTTTCTGAAAAAAGGTCAGAACGTTTAACGTCTTTTTGTAAACTTTCAATGGACAATCATATACGTGAACATAGCAATTTAAGTACAAAGCGGAGCACATATTCATAGACTGAAAAGGTTTGCTAACAAGCAATGAAAACAATGCTTAAATGCCAAAATGGCGAGGTGAACGCACAGGTGTTATCAAAGCATGTAAACTTTTCATATATATAATATGAACAGTAGGAAACTCAATGTAGACATAATAGACCTCATTATCTGTTTTTCTCTTGGTTTATGCAAGAAATGGTCGGTTCATCGTCACGTGTGTATTGCATTTTCATGACATTGTTACAATATATAAGAAAGGCCAAAGAGAACACACTGAAAATTATCGGCCAATCTCACTGCTACCAATCCTTTCGAAAGTTTTAGAACGCTGCGTTTTCTTTAACATCAAAGATCATCTGTTCCAGCTGATCCAGAAACTGCAACATAGATTTATTTCTGGTAAATCATGCGTTACTAACCTCTTGGAAGTCCTGGACTACATCGGCTCGGAATTAGATAATGGCGGTCAAGTAGATGCTATTTACTTGGACCTGTCAAAGGCTTTTGACAAAGTCAGTCACTCAAGACTTAAACAAAAGCTGCGTATGGCTGGATTTGGCGGCAACCTCATCCAATGGTTCGACTCCTGCCTCACGAATCGCCAACAACGTGTAACTGTACTTGGAGCCACTTCTGCCACCCTCCCACTTACTTCAGGTATTCCTCAAGGCTCCATACTTGGTCCTGTCCTCTTTGCCCTGCATGTCAACGATCTTCCTGATGCTGTGAAATTCAGTCAAGTTGCAATGTTCGCAGACGACACAAAACTGTTTTCAACCATCAAAACTAAGAACGACTGCGAACAGACGACAGATCGGAACTAATTAGCATGTATGTAAATTAAGGTATATAAACTTAGTGTTTGTAACTATGTATGGCAGTTCTTATATGTAGTATAATAAAGTGGTTCAAAATACTACATTTGGCGACGAGGAAGAAACTAAAAAGACAGCGATGGGTTTTATACCTGCAGCAGTTCCAATACAAGCTCACATATATTCGAGGTAAAGACAACCCCGCAGACTCCTTCAGCCGCCTACCAGTAGACTCAGCAGCAAATACTGATGCTATAGACACGGAAGACTTTGCTTACAGCGTAGCGAATGGAGCGATGCCAGTTGCATTAGCATCAAGAGAAGTAGAACATGCTTCAGAAAGCGACGCGACGTTAAAGTTAGTTCGCCAAGCAGTGGTGACTGGTGATTGGAGTTCTTTACGAGGAACCAAATACAAGACGTTGAAAGATGAGTTCTGGATTATTGGCCAAGTTGTAATGCGAGGGAGCCGAATAGTTATGCCAGAGAGTCTTTGGAAGCGAACTGTTGAGTTGGCTCATGAAGGACACCAAGGAATTGTTCGTACGAAGTCCAGATTGCGAGAGAAAGTTTGGTGGCCGGAAATCGACAAGCAGGTAGAAGATTATGTGCGTTCATGTCATCCCTGCCAAATCGTGGGTGGTTCCAAACCGAAGCCAGAACCGATTAGATCGACCAAATTGCCTGAATCTCCGTGGAAAGACATTTCAGTTGACCTTCTCGAAATAACCAGTGAGAGTCATCTTCTGGTCGTCGTAGATTATTATTCTCGTTGGGTCGAAGCCATTCTACTTCGCAAAACAGACGCGCAGCACGTGATAAAGAGTCTGGAGGCTATTTTTAGAACACACGGTTTGCCAGAGACAATTCGTAGTGACAATGGCCCTCCATTTGCATCAAGAGATTTTGAAGCGTTCTTAAAGAGTCTCGGAATAATCCATAAGAAAGGCGTACCCTATTGGCCTCAAAGTAACGGAGGAGTTGAACGTTGCAACGAAACCTTGTTGAAGATCGTTAGGATTTCCAGAATTGAAGGTAAAGATTGGAAAAAAGCATTGGAAGATTTCCTATTCCATTACAGAGTAACTCCTCATATAGTAACTGGCACAACTCCGGCCGAACTTTTGATGGGAAGGAAACTACGTGAAAAGCTCCCGAGAGTTGAAGTTAATGAAAGTCGTGTCACCGAGACAGAACGGAAAAAGCTTTTGAAAGAAAGGGATGCTCGTGTAAAACTCCGACAGAAAGAATACGCCGATAAGCGCGGCCCAAGATTGCAACATTAGTGAGGGTGATCGAGTGTTGTTGAAACAAACGAGGAAAAACAAGCTAACGTCAAGTTTCGAACCACTTCCATACAGAGTGATTCGGAGAGAACGCAATGCAGTTGTTATACAAGATTCTGGTGGAGATAATAAGATGCGAGGAATAGCGCACATGAAGAAGTATGTGGAGCCACAAGTTGTTGAAACTAGAAAAACGTTAGAAACGCCAGTCAAGGCTTCATGAAGTTGAGGAATCGACAGCGCAACCCGTTAGTGCAGATCCTGCGAAGCAAGATCAATCAGACGTACCAAGTTCAGTACCGCAGCCTAGCAGCCCAAGTCCAAATGTACGACCATTGCGTGCGAGGCGACCGCCAGTTTGGATGAAAGATTACGTTTCATAATAATTCTAAATTGACGTTATAAGTTTAAATGGATTAGCATGTTAAATTTCCATAATTAGTAAGAGTAGATTTTGTAAAAGAAAAAACAGACAAAAAAAAAACCCAACATACAATTAGATCTTATAGAACATATAATCTGTTGAACATTTGATATCGTTAGTACTTTCTATTATATTGACATTTATATAATAGTATATTGACATTTATATTAAATTGAGGGGGAGATGTAGTGTATCAGATCGGAACTAATTAGCATGTATGTAAATTAAGGTATATAAACTTAGTGTTTGTAACTATGTATGGCAGTTCTTATATGTAGTATAATAAAGTGGTTCATGCAAAATGACCTGGACAACCTGCGAGTTTGGTCGTCCGAGTCTGGCCTCTCGTTCAACGACAAGAAGTAAGCCCAACACATCACCAGAAAATTCACGCCACTAACAACAACATACAAACTATCGTCAAATTTAGAACAAATTAACAGTGAACGTGATCTTGGTGTGTGGGTCCAGAATAACCTCACCTGGAACAAACAAGTTTACGATCAGTCGGCGAAAGCAAATGAGTTACTGGGCTATATCAGAAGGTGAAGGTGAAGGTGAAGGTCAACGTTATACGGCCATAACACTGCTGTGCGACGTATTTTATATTTGGCTCTGGTGCGACCTCACTTGGGTTATGCAACGCAGATATGGTCTCCGCAGTCAGTTGTTCTAATATAGCAAATAGAACGTACCCAGAGGTACGAGCGACAAAATTTATCCTTGAGCTACCTTTCGCCTCAACTACAGACTACACCGCTAGACTGCTAACCCTGTCCCTACTACCCATTTGCTATTGGCATGAGTACTTAAATATTATCGCAATGTAGTTAACATGGAACGAAAGAAATGCAAGTCCTCCTACTATGATTGCAAGATTAAAAACCTGAAACATGTTAAGCCTAGGAACTGGTGGAGTGCAGTTAAAAAAGTAAGTGGAATGGATACAACCACCAAATCTAATCTTCGCTCCAATTTACAAATTGATGACCTCGATAACTTAAGTGATATCAAGTGGTTGCAAATAAAATTAATGACAAGTTTCTGGAACCACTCCAAGAGTTTCAACCGTTGCAAATCACAGTAGCAAACAACGACTCCATTTCAAATGTCCTCACAGTGTCTGAACTGGACGTCTGGAATTGGAAATTTCATCAGTGCGCGAAGCGCACGCATTGAAATTATGATTTCATGAGCAAACCGAAATAAGATATAATAGCGTATTCTCCCCGGCTTCCGGTTAATTCAAGCCCTTCAAAGTCATAACGAGACCCCCAAAAGACTCGTTCCCATGCTTCCCCTTCCTTCTCCAAAATGGATTGGAGTTAGAGAGCAAAACAAACGAGTCACAATCTAAAACAGGAACCTTTAATTTATTATACCGTTTATAATATTGTTACACTGTTGTAATACACCGTGTATAAACATCAATATCTCAAACACGTAATGTAAACTTTAACATGTACTTTAACATGTACTTAACATAGTTCATAACATAGTTATAACATTTCACAAGAATCTGGACATCGTCACTTCACTCCTCAGTTGCCTTTAGCACCTAGAGTAGCAAAAGCAAACCGAAATAAGATTGATATTAAATAATAGGAAATTGGGAGTGGCAGGGAGGGACGCTATTATATCTTATTTCGGTTTGCTCATGAAATCATAATTTCAATGCGTGCGCTTCGCGCACTGATGAAATTTCCAATTTCATTTCACAAACCTCCATAAGATATAATAGCGTATGTTCAAAGCATTCCGACCTGTTTGTAATACTGTTTCCTGGAAACCATCCTGCCCAACTGTTGCCTCAGCAGTTACATCCCTCAAATAGTGCCTTTTAAAAGTAGATTCCTTCTTCCACTTAGCTTTATTCATTATTTCCTGACACGAGAGGCCTTTAGCCTTGGCTTTAGAACTAGAGGCACCCCTGGTAGAGTGTGCACTAAATTCAGAGGTGTTCACAGCTGCTTCACTCATCAGTCCTACCAACCAGCCTGCAATTGTACAGGGCACCACCTCCTTATGGGGCTCAACAAAGCTTAGCAATAACTGGGTCTGAGCTAATACAGAACGCCACCTTTTTGTACGATCCACATAGGAGGTAATGGCTGACACTACACATAACAAAGGGTCCGACTGGAAGGAATTAAATATCA